ATGATTTCTGACCTTAAGGGGCATCTCTGCCCGTGACATGAAAATGCGTGAAAACTTCACATTTTTAATAATATCTCGGTGTTGCGAATTATTAAAAAAATATACTTCTGTAACTTTGTAAAACAACTCGTTGGGAATTTTTTAAAGGTATTCACTCCAGATTTTAACAATTTTTGGACAAGTTCTATTTGGTTAAAAATGCGTGTTTTTAAACTAATAGAAGTACTTCAAAAACTGTTAAAACCTGGAGTTAAAACCTTTAAAAAATTCCCAACGAGTTGTTTTACAAAGCTACAGAAGCATATTTTTTTTTAATAATTCGCAACACCGAGATATTATTAAAAATGTGAAATTTTCACGCATTTTCATGTCACGGGCAGAGATGCCCCTTAATGCTCCACTCCCAACATTTGAACCCACGACTTTCCGCGATCTTATTTGCAGTGAGTTATCCCTAAATGTAACTCAAATTGTCTACACCAAAATGAAGAACATGGATGAGTCTTATGAACCCAACATCAAGAATGTTTTTACCCAGATGTTCTGGTATATGCTTTGGCTGGAGGGTTGGAAGCAAGGTCAAAATCCGTATAAACTTTCCAATTGCTTCAACCTTTATTCACTACCTTCAAAAAAAGCTTTTACAACGTGGCGTGATACTAATCCTGAATTTGTGGTGTATCTGCATAACACAATTTTTATGGTGGATAAGATCAATTGGTTTGAAAGCATGTGTCTAATGAAACTACACTCTAAACAAAATCGTCACCAAAATTGTCTCCTCGTGTAGGCACTATACGGCTCTAAGAATGGGTGATGATTTACCTACTCGCGTAGATAAACTCGATTTGTGTCCTTCGCTTTGACAAGTTGTATCGTCTTAGTCGTAGTGATGTTTTGCCACTGGTTAATAGTAAATTTACTTCAACATGGAAACAACGTTCCTTACGTATTGGACATGAAATATTACCAAATTGTAACAAAACACAGTGATAAATTGCTTCCAAAAAGATGAAATTCATTACCCCATTTTTAATATGCTTTATGTATCTCCTAATGGAGATAAATACACTGGTAGAAATGCAATAACAGAATAAGTATTACATATTTACAATGTTACGTAAAACACGCTTTATTGTTTATGAATAAAAATGTAGTTCTCACCTATATGTACATACATACCTCTAATTTACCACATATAACACTAGTTACAATATTTGCATAATTGTAGCCACAAATTGTTGAAATTAAATACATACATTTCATCTTAGCCTAATTAATGTAAAATCTAATTACAAATGGTGTCTTAAACTTATAAACAAACCACCAGCTTGACAATTTGTTTGAATTTCCATACATTCGTGAATTACCAAATTTTCCACTGCACAAATTCTAATCGTTTCCCCAATCGCAACTTTATATGCAAAAAAGTGTCGATCAAAAAGGGTCACCCCAAGCTGTTTAACAACAAGAAGACATTTATTTTCACCAACTACAAGCATATCAGTGATAATACCAAATCGGGGGAAAACTGGACCCATGTCAAAACAAACGACATAATTTCGTTTAAAGTCACATCCTTTGTACGCAATTTTATTAGTTGACCAAAGCAGACTATCCATGGTGTAAGTTTGGAAACCATCGATTAGTCTAATACATTCTAGAATATCAAACCCATCCTCAAAATCCGATAAATTCACTATCGTGACATTGTCCACCTCAAGTTCGTCCTGAATGCTAAATTCTTTGTGCGCGTGGGCACTATACTGCTGATGTCTCGCTGCTAATGAGTAACAAATATTCCTAAAATTTCTAATATGGCTTGCTAATTGCACAAAATAATTATGCTTCCCCTCGAATCGCATGGTCCACAAGGAGATTAGTGGTCCGCTTTGTCTAATTACGTACGGATAATGGCACATGAAATGGTGCTTGGGAATTAGCCGTGTGTTGGGAAAAATTTCTCTAAATAAATTATGATGCTTAATAATACTTCTTTCTAAACAATCAATAATTGTTTCAGAAAATTTTCTGCAGAATGCAAAACTCATACACTCAAGCAACTGAATCAGCAATTCCCAATATCTTTTCTGCTCATTGGTCCTAATCAAGTCACCTATAATAACTGGTAAAAATCTTATTAAACACCAGGCTTGGGCAGCTTTTTGCCCGATCCGGTTCCCTTGACCATCTAATTTAATTGGACTTGGTCTATTTTTCGATTCCAATCTCCCAAAATCATGTGCCATTAACCTGTTGTTGACGACATCTAAGGAAAAACAACCCAAACTTATTAGTTTTTGCAGTACTATTTTAATCTCGAATGGCACAACCCCCTCTAACATATCATGCATGATATCTACTGTTGGAGAGTCCAAATAGTTATAAAAGTTGAGATCATTTAATGGACAACTCCTCACAACTCCATGCGAAAATGTGGTTAAATGCTGTTGTAAATTTTCCCTATTCCTAATCTCGAACTTTGAATGCTCAAAAATATTTTGAGCGTCATATTTGGAGATACAACAAATTCTGCAGTAATGAGTGGCATTAAACGACTCCTGGAACCCTAATATTGAATTTGCCCCAAGATTGTCGTGGGCAAGAGCACAGACTGTTCCAAAAAATGTTTTCCCCCTAAGCTCTATTCCTTTTGTTTCCAAAATTTTTATGTCCGGAATAATGTGATCAAAAATTAATTGATATCCGTATTTTTTTGCATCCTCGGAATAAAATAAAGCTAGCAGATGAATATTATTTAGTTGGGAATTCAGGGAATCTGGAAAATTACGCAAAACAAAATATAAGGCCCCAAGCTTGTGAATTCCTCGTTTAGATCCCAATGGGTTTACCGTTTCGAAATCGTCGTAGAAAATTTGAATTTGTAGAGCATCCGAATGTCTTGAAAACAACGTATTATTTTTAAAACTATTACTGTCGTTAAAGCTTTCGTACATTTTTACCTGCCTATCTGAGGGGACAGAAAAGTACTTCGAAAACTGTTTACATGAAAGTAATCCTTCCAAAGTCTTAAGTATTGGGACGTACATGAATGTGTCGGGGACAATAATTTGCTGACGCTTATTTTCATGAATTCTCATTTCTATTCTACTCCCTAAAGTAATTTGCACAGGCTGAACAATTTTATCGTATTTGAGAAATAATTTGTCCCTTTGGTACGATGACTTCACGTACTTAAAGGCTGATAATAAACCATTAACTTGGCAAGAAAATTCATCAGAATTATTTTGGAAAAATCGATCTGCTACTTTAATAATGAATTTAAATATTTGGGAAAATGTGTATTGCATTTCCTTAACGATATAATCGACCATAGAATTATTTACACCTTTTGAAAGTAATGCTGAACAAAAAGTATGAAGTAGGTCTTTGAAGAGTTTAATTCCGAAATCAACGGACATTGCATCACCTATTTCCAAATTATCCGACTCCAAATCATTATTTTTAGAATTAAATTGAATGCTTGAACTAATACCTACTATATCTACTTCTAATTGTTTCACGCCAGAACTAATACTTGACTCATGGAATGACTTTAAGTGACGCCATAATCCATCCCAGCTATTAATTTCAACGTTGCAAGATTCGTTAGGGCACAGCATACGAGTAAAGTGGACGTGACCATAAGCGTGGACGTATTTTAAGTGGTCCTTAATTTCTAAAATTGTACTAAATAATTTGGAGCACTCAATACATTTAAACATGTTTATGGATATTAATGTAAATCTTCAAAAACACTTGCTAATTGGGAGTAAAGTTGCTTAACCTTGCGCGGTAGTGGAGTCGTATCTGTGTCCAATTTATACAAATATACTTGAATAAATTTCCAGAATCCAGATAAATTCTTGTCGTATTCAGTAGCAAAAACGTAATGGGCCTTGAAAAGGGTGTCGATCGCTTCAGCAGAGTTTCCCGCAGATATTGGGAGAATCTTCCGGTCGCAAACAATGAAGAACGAATTCAGGTCCTTCGAACTATCCCCAAGACAAAGAAGGTTGGGTTGGCTTTTTTCAGTCTTCCACGTGTCCAGAATAGATTGTAAAGGCGTTCCGGACTTAATTAGAATCAAAATAAAAATTGTTACAAACAAATTAAAATGATAAAAGTCTAATAAATTTCTAATATACTTTATAATAGGAGATTAGAAGTTCCTTGGCGTCCCCAGTTTTCGACCGACTACCCTTCCCCTGTCCTTGTGGGGCTGGTGGGATTAGGTACAGGAGCGAAAACAGCGATGCAATATTAGTGTCCCAATTGCCTACGCATAATTGAGAATTAGAAGATGAAGTCTATGACTATGTATAAATGATTATATTTAATCTGCTAATACTCACGGGCCTCGTCGGATATAAATTTTCTAAATGATGGAGAATTACTAAGCTGCTGCCCCTTTTGCACAATTTTGGCAGCGATCGATGTCCAGACTTTGAGGAAATTATCAGCCGTATCAAGGAAAACTCGTAGTTAATCTGCAATACAATAAGAATTACCGTTGATTTTATTGGTCATATTATTCAATACAAGTAAATTAGTAAATAGTTACCAAGTAGTCACACTCCAAAAACTTCTTATAAGTTGGGAGAATTGACAATTGGCTGGATTTTCGTAAGATGTTTCGATGGGGGAGTGTCTCGATCATCAAACTTTCAATTTCCTTCCGAGCCGTCTTTGAGCAAATACCGTTCAGCTTACTAGTACTTGAATTGTCGCTGAGTCGGTATCCTCGATGAGGTCAATATTAGGACGTTTTGGTAAGGGCCCACCTATAACCAATTCCTTCCGCTTTTTAGTCTTAGGTTGGTTCTTGAAGAGAGCTTTGTGAATATGTCGTAGTCTGGCTTGGATGAGACCACCTCGCCCGACTTGGTCGAATAAAATATCCTAGAAAGGAGTGACATCAATATATTGAAGGTAAGTTAATTTTAGATAATTGTTATGGAAGTTAATTTATCATTCAAAGTAATCCACAGTCCTTACCGTTCCGTCTTCACTTCCGGGATATCGCCATGCTGGAATGACGAGGATAATTGCCCTGGCAAATCTTTTTTGGTCAGTTGAACTGGGCGATGTGCTGCAATGTACAAAAAGTTATAATTTTTAAAAGGACAACGTTTTCTAAAATACATAAATACATAATCCATATATACGAGATATAGTACCAAAATTCAATGAACTTACCCTTTAAGTTCAATTAATTTGGCCACCAATTCCTTAATTAAAATAGATGAGGCGGCAGCAGTGACTAACAAGTTTTCATTTGAGTTCGTTACCAGATTCTGCAAGTTGTGATCCTGCTGTATGTGCGATTCGATTATCTGTAATTCAGTATGAAAACCAAATGTTAAAACCAGAGTTTTCAAATTAATTAAACTCATTGGATTTACCGATTTGTAATTCTCAATTTCGGTGACCTCGTTAGTTACAAAAATTGGAGTGTTCGTTGGGGGAGGGATAAAACCATACGAGGACAATCCATTACCAACTACAGAACAAATCATCTTTGGTTTAGAATTAATTGGGAATTAATGTAAGTTAAGCTGTATGTATTTAATAAAATTTACCAGAAAGAACGAGTTGTTCCTGCTCCTCTCCGAAAATTCTCAAAACCACATTTGGTATGTCCTGCTGGTTCACAAACACCGGAAAAATTTCCCGATCAATCTCAGCGCCATATTCATCCTCGAGATGAATTTGTGTGTCCCGATCCAATACAAATTTCTCCTTAACTTTGGTAGATTAGGAAATAGAAATAATTCGCAAAGTTTCCTTATTTAATTCATTTAAACGTAAACCCTACCTGCTAGTGCAAATTTGTCGTAGTCTTCGTCGCCTAGTATTAATTTTTTCCCCTTCGATACACTCGAAACTCGAACGATTTTCATTTTAACAAAATTTTATGTGCAAACAAAAAATATTTCAAGCCACGATGTGTGGTGGTCAAACAATACCGCGACTCAGGGTTACGTCGAGTTTTATGCTCGGGCCAACTTGAAACTTCAAAAGAATCCATCAGGAGATAAAATGTCTCCAATGGAAAATAAGTCGTGTAACAACTCATTTCCTCACTGTAAAAAAATTATATGTTGTGCGGAGATACCATTTGTGACCATGCATAGTGACGATTATGGTGATGATTTTCTCACCATGTACGTAATAATCGTTGTCACTCTGCGACGGAGATAAAATTGGTAATAATATTATCTCCAACTTGTTTAGAGTGTATTTAACCTAGCGGTAAACTTGTATCTACCAATTCATTCACACCACCCGAGGAATTTTAATAGTTCTGTTGATACTGACATAAAGGTTTTGCGACAAGATGTAGAAAAGGAAGTAGATGAATGCGGAAAAACCATTGTTCGAAACTACAAAACTTGTAAAGTAAACATATGCTGCACAGTAAATAAATAAATGTTAAGTTATCATAATAAAATTGTGAACCGCTTCACACATATTGACTTGTAAAAAAGATATTGCAAATTTACAAGTTTATTATTAACGCATATACTGGTTGACATACATACCTGTGAAATTCTTAAGGGTATCTTAACTAATAATAATTCATGAATATGTAAAAACATCTACAAAAAACATCTCGTATTCAATATACCTTTTCGTAATACTTTTTTCACATTAAGCAGACATTATTTAAGCAATCGATTTTCTTATTAAGGCGCATTTAAGACTTCTTAAAAAGATGAAGTGTCGTTAAAGAATTTGACGGGGATGGTGAAATTTCGGAAGATTGAGCTTCATATTTTCGTAGAGTTGTATACAACTCTACGAATATATATATGTCGTATAGATAATTATATATGACTTCAACGTTATTTGTATGTACATTAATAAGTACTACTGATGCACATTTTATACGCATCAGTACATACATACATGTTACATGACTAAATACATACAAACACATTACTTGCTGGTTAATACAACCTTAATGACCTAAATTACGTTTATATTTTAACACTCCCTTTAAACGTGATTAGATTTACCTTAAATAATTATCCTATTTCCGAGCCCGAAGATTGTAACTGGATCTCTTCTTCACCTTCTCCAGTATGATTGCTCCAGCGTTGACCATTACAGCTCAGAAGATTTTCTCGTTCTCGGCATGAAACTTTAAACTTCCTCGCGTTATATTTCTTTCCACCCGAGCATTGACATTTTAAGACAAATCAAACCTCAGGGCGCTTGTGAATATTTGCAAATGCAGCTATCAATGCTGTAGCAATCCTACAAGAAAAGGTGAAGAAGAGATCCACTTACAATCGTCACGCTCGGAAATAGGATAATTATTTAGTTAAATAAAATGACGTTTAAAGGGAGTCTTAAAATATAAACGTAATTTAATTAGGTCATAAGTTTGCATTAATCAGCATGTAATATGTACATATGTATACATACATGTATTTAGTCATGTAATATGTACTGATGTGTATGATATGTGCATCAGTAACAAATATTGAGTGATTCATAATTGTGGGTGGATAATTCGATTATTAGATTGTAAACCAAAAATTGTCATAGAAGAATTAGTCTCGGTAATTATAAAAACAGTATTAAATATTACTCCGGAGAGTGCACAGTTCTCAAAATTGAATACCTTTATGGTCGAGATAAACTAGTATATCGTATATATGTATATATATTAGGGTTCGCAGTTATGTGCATACATATCGTTTTTTTCCTTCATTTAATAACAGATCTATCACTTGAAAATGTTTATCTTCACAAATAAATCCACTTTATCAAGTCAACCAAAGATTTGTGATATCTCCCAGATTAATTTTGCAAAACTATTGTATTCATTCTAATACGCAAACAACATCACCCTGACTACGAGGTTGTTGTTCGGTTATCACCGCTGGGGATTAGACTGAAAGCACTGACGTGGAATCTTCATGTTAGTAAAAGCTTGTAAGGTTGAATAAAGCCGCAGTTGAACAACTTGATTAAATTGTGGAGGACAGGTTGAGAACAATTTCCCAATTTTTTTTACATATTCAATGTAATAATTCTTAACGCTTGATAATTGAATTTAAAAAATGAGTCCAACAATCGCTGTGCCTCCGCCAGTGCAGGTTCCCGTTGCCCATGAAAATTTGGCTCTGCGTGATTTACAAACCCAACAAAACAGTGATGACAACACTACTAACCAAACGATGTATGAAAGAGTTTTCTTTTTTCAAAAAATATTCCTGACAGTTTCAATCTTCAACATGGGCTTAACTGGATGTAATTAACCAATTTACCCGTCATACAAATATTCAAACTGCGTCGTATTAGCCAATGTTGCTAATTATTGTCGGATGCCTATCCCATTTCGCCGAATTGAAGCTTTGTGTATTCTTTAGCGAAACGAGGGCAAGAATTCGGTATCAAAATGTGCTAAAAAAGCGTGCAGAACGCCTTTGCCATTTTGCTGCCGAGCACACTGGACTTGCATAACTTTGTGTCGAATTTGTTTTACCTTGCAAGCTATTGAAAATAATCCTATAAATATATAATTAATGATTTTAATCCTATAATAAATTAAATCAGACATTCGTTTTCTGAAATTAATTTTTGTTTTAGGGATCGGAAGATTTCCAATAATCTTTCCTCTATCTTTGGAGAATGCCCCGGTTCGAGTGAGGAAAATCAATTCTTCCCCAAAAACTATTGGATTGTCTATTAAGACGACGAAAAACCCGGCCTTTGTGATTTACAGGGTATGCCCTTCTTAAACTTATCGTAATCACCATGTACATGTGAATGTGAAATAGCAACTATATATTATTCTCAGTATGGAGAAGACGAGAAACGCGTGGACATATTTTGCCCCGAGCTGAAAGAGCCAATTGGACAAATACTGATAAAACATAAGAGTAGGAAGCAATTGGCCACCCGATCCCGTCGCCCTGTTTGAGTGCATCGTATCCCGTCTCCATTACCGTGCATTTAAAATGGCGTCTATTTAGGTACTTAAAATGCATATGTATGTTGCTATTGGTTGGTGATGAATTGTGGTGGTGGTGGTGGGGGGTGGCGAGGGTAAATGTGCTGATGGATGTTGGTGTGTGAGGGTGGTGTCGCCGGGGGGCAGTGTGCTGCTCCCCCTGGCAGTGGGTGTGGTCATGGTCGAACTTTAAATTTTTTATTGATTCAATATTTTGCATAGAGTGCTGGGAGAGTATAAAGTTTAATTTTTGTAAAATATTATTATCGTTGTTTAAGGTCTCTACGTAGATTTCTAATGAGCATTTCGATCTCCATTAGTCTAAGTGAGACGGCATCCCGTGTGTAGATTGGCAGCCGGTCTGATTCCGGTTCCGATGCGGTGGAGGAACTGGAGTCTTCTGTTTCCGTTGAAATGATTCTGCGTTTTTTTGCAGAGGAATCTGTGAAGAATAGAGTATAATATTGAGTTTGAATTTTAATATAATAAAATGACTTGTAGAATTCTTACGAGAGGCTGCAATTTCCTCATTTCTCTCTGCCATCGTAGATTTTTACAGATTTCTTCCGGAAATGTGGGAATGCTTCGTAATGTTGCGGTCAGTTCCTCTTTCATTACTGCCGTCAGTTCTTCCGTGGGGTGCATGAGCATCCGCTTGATTAATTGAACCGACCGAAATAGGCTTCTCCCCAACTTTTTGGGAAGAGTTTCCTACAATATGAAAAGTAGTGTACAAAAGTTAAACTCTATGGATTTCCACCCACTCACTGTTAAAGTTGCATTTATTGGACTTCGAAGCAGTAATTCCACAAAGGTGGATGGATGTAGTGGTGCAGATACATTATTTAACGTGTCGTTGAGCCCTAAAAAAATAACTAAAGTCAACGACACGGTGCACATGGGTAGATTATTAGTTGAATTTAATATTATTAGCAATGCATTGTACCTGTCTGGGTCATTAATGTATCATTGGTTGGTTTTTCGCTACTTTTATAAAGTTGCAAAGCAGGTTCAGTTGTGGTGATCAATATTGTTGATGTGAATGGAGTAGGAGTAGTGGTAACAATAATCAAGGGGGCGGCGGTAGTACTTGTACTCGTATTATTTTTTAACGCATCGGTGAGCCCTAAATAATGGCACGGTGCACATGAGTGGTTACATATTTATTTGTGAATTTAATATGATACACAATTTATTGTAATATACGAGGGAAGGACCATAAGTAATCGGATACGCCGTGAAGGAGCAATAAATTTGGGAGACTTAATTCATCACTTATTAATATGGTCCCCTGCAAGGTTAATACACGTGGTCCAGTTTTATTTGAAAGAACCTATCCTGGTTTTAAAAATTGTTTCGTGTTGCTGGTCAAAAAACCTAGAAAATCAAATAAATAGTCGAAAATCACTTTCCCCGGGAGGTTTTTTTAAAATGTCGATATTGGTAGTACTCAGTGGGGGTCTGGTCTAGACTACAAGGTGAAATAATTCTGTCATCTTGTTGCTTAAAATGGCACCCTGTTCAACTTTGGATATTTGAACGGGTGAAAATGAGGTAAATGACGCCGTTTTAGTCCCTTTCGTTTCTCCACAACAGGTTGTCGCAAACTCTTCAAAATTTCTGCATAAGTAGCATCAGTTATCGTAGTTTTATGTGAGAGAATATCTAAAATTAGAATTTCTTCCAAGTCCCAATAATTTTTTGTCATTACCTTAAAAGCTGGTTTTTTAGCGATGAGCGTTTTTGGGGGAATACAGTCAGTATATGTCCACTGCATATTTTTCTGCTTACCCAAAGGGTCATAAAACTGAACCCAGGTTTTGTCCCCAACGAATAGCTAAGCATATAGTATTTGCTTCTGTTTTGAAGGTCTAAATTTTTATGACAAAAATGCGCTTGAATTTTTTTTGCTCGATGCTCAAATTCATTTGAACCAATTTTTCACTAACCTAATTCAGGAGAAGATAATCATGTGGGATTCTGACGACACTTGTTTTATGAATGCCCAATTACCGAGCTATTTCCCAAGCTATTACTCGACTGTTGGTGATGACCAGGTCATTGATTTTCTGGAGAGTTAGGTCATCAATCACGAAAATAGCTCGACCTTGTTTTTCATCGGATTAAAGTGATTTTCTGCCAATGCGAAGTTTCTTAGCCCATTTATGAAATATTTACAATGAAGAGGTTGAATTTGGGAAAAATTTAAGGGTACATTGATGAATATCCGCCGGGGGGGGGGGTCCCTTGAAACGTTAAAGTCCGCATCACAGGAAAATACTCAATTTTAGTGATTTCAGTTTTTTCATTGTATTCCGTTACATCCAACCACTTCCTCGACCCTGCAATGGTCGTATGCTAATCAAACTTTCAGCATAAGATGCATAAAAGTTTCTCTTTCAAACAACCCGAAAAGGTGGGGCAAAAAGAGACTCCTTCAAGGCGTATCCGATTACTTATGGTCAGCCCTCCGTACATACCAGCCTGAATCATTAATTGCGCGCTTGAGTAATTTCCTATTTTTTCACGATCTTTAGAAAATTTCAGGGCAGGTTGAATGGTTGTGGTGGGGGTTGGTATGGTTGATGTCGGAGTAATGGTGGTGGTGATAATTGAGGGTGCAACAGTAGTACTTGTACTGGTACGCAAATATTCCAACTTTTGCGCAAATATATAATCATCTGAAATAATTAATTGTACATACTGTGATACCTAAATTTTAGAAACTTTTGAGTGTTATGAATAAAGTAGTACCTTTCTTAAAAAATGCACATCGTCTCTTGGATCTGAAGACTTACGCCAAGCCCACAATAATTGGCTTTCAGGTAAGAAGAAAATTGAATACATACATTTCTTAATGCGTACTATTTCAACCTCAAATTAACTTGAGTTGAAATAATTTTATTCTGCCCTAGGTTCTAGAGCTCACAAAGTTGGCAGTGATGCAGGGATTCGATCGTATCCAAACAGCCTTTCCTGGATGCAGGATCATTTCAGGCAACACTGATTCCCTTTCAGTGCTTATCAAGGACCCAGAGGGGACATTTATGTCGAAAATGCGTCTACTCGAGGACATTTTTGACATGTCCGAGATCCCCATTTCCTCCTCATTGTTCTCTAGAAAAAATTCAAATGTTCCTGGTATGTGGAAGCCAATATGCTTTGGCAACATACTAGAATTCATCTCCTTGGGCCCCTCGTCCTATTCGTACCTTCCAATATGTGAATCTTGCATGGGGGAGAGACCGGCGGAATGCCTGCATTGTGTGGGTGTGCTAAACGGGTTACAGAAATCCAGTGGAATACCAAAATCAATTCAACAAAGAATTACTCATCACACCTACAAATCTTTCCTTCGTGAACATTTACTATCAAGCTATCAGCACAACCAACTATTGGCCACTTCGACTGGATTAACCTTGCAAAAAATGAAGCGACGAGCATTTGCTGGCATCCAGCAAACAAGATTCTATGTAAATGAGAACGAAAGTGTCCCCTTTGGACATTATTCAGTTCCAGTTGTACAATAATTATATAAAACATGTTTGTGGTATTCGTTGTACTTATTGTACATTATATAGCTATATTTGTTATGCACTTTTTGTGCACTAGAATTATTTCAATAGAACTATGAATACTAGTGTATATTTTATTTTGCGTAATTTAGGAAACAAAAAAATACAAAATTGTCAAATAATCACAAAAATATAAACATATATTTAGTAGGATATAATTGTAAGATTTAAACAGAACCCAGCGTTAGATTTATTGAAATTTTAATGTATGTAGGGTAATCTGTGAGAGAAAAGACTTTATGTACATACATAAATATGTGTGCAATTCATTTTAGTTTAATGTACTTTTAATGAAATAATTATGTAGACTGTTTATCTTCCGACCGACCATTACCGTTGAAATTTGACTGAATAATTTACAACTGAAAAACAGGTTCGCTCACAAATTGCGCAGATCATGATTATGTGTTAATTGGCAAACTCAAATTAATAAATGTGGGCGAAGTGACTGAAAATTATTGCATATTCGTTAACTTTTTATTGGCATAATTTTTCATGCACCTCGTTGGTCACGTGGTCGCATGTCCGACGCAATGTCATGTTATTATCATGCTATTTTAAAACGTTTTAACTTTGCACATGTGCAAGTCACTTTATAAAAGTGTAAACTACTACAATTTGCTCTAGTTGGAATTTGTCAATCAGAGAAATTATGGTTTGAGGTCGCCGAGTTTGTAAACTGGAGAAAATAGACGTAACTCTGCAGCATCCAGGACGAATAGTGTTGGTGGGGGCGGCCGGTATGGGGAAGTCCAGTTTGATTTTACGTTTGCTGCAATTAAAGGACAATGCATTCTCTTGCACATTTGATTTGTGTGTTTATATTTATATACATTGACAGGAAGGTGACTTTGATGTACTGCAAGAGAGGTTTGCTTGATTTTATTTATTTCATTGGTATGTATTTTACATTGTTTTCATTTGTGATGCATTTGTAGGGACCCAACAATAGTTTTTCTTCATGTAGACAGTTTAATCTATTTGGAAGATATTATAAAAATATCCAGGAACTCGGTCATTATCTACGATGACCTCCAACAAATCTTTGAAACAACGAGGGGGTCAGCATACATTACAGCATTTTGGATACATATGAGCACACACTTAAAATGCACATGCATTGCACTATTGCATAACCTATACGCCAAGGGGCTCCGAACAGTTGCACTAAATTCCACAATGACCGGACTGATGACAAATAATCGAGACCGCGTACAAATCCAAACGTTTGGACGACAACTACTTCCCAAAACAGGGGAATTTTTCCTCCAGAGCTATCTGGATGCCACGACGAGTAAGAAATTTGGTGTGCTAGTCGTCGACCATTCAATTCATCAGTCGGATCGTTGGAGACTACGAAACTTTCTGTTTGTCGATCCAGACAAAAAGTCGGACCTCAAGTTCTACGTTCCCCTAAAAAAACAAGACCAAACCATGAGCAGCATTGTCCGGGTAATCCCCGAAACGTTGTATGAGAGGCTCGAGCAAGAAGGGTTATTGGGGGAGAACAGCAAGGTTCAGCCTCTCGCAGCGGCCGAGGATAGAGTATCGCTGACCCCTTCAGTGGAAGCGCAAAATGAGATTGGTCACCCCCAAATCAAAAGGATAAAGTTGCCAGTAGGTTACATTTAAATGCTCAATTTACATCTAGTAATCAACATGTAAAGACCTCTTTTACGCAGGACGCAGACCCAGATTTTCCCAACACTCTGCCATGGGTGAAATTTGAGGATATATAAAATGGAGCGTTTATCAAATAATTTTGACTTTTTATGTGAATTTTCGAAAGCAAAGCTAAATAAAACCCGCAAGAGTTTAATATTGAGTGTGACGAGGAGTCAGCTTTATTCATTAATTGAATGTGTATTTAACGCTCAGTTTTACAGGTCTGAATTGACCAAGCAAGAAAAGCAGGCAATTGACTCAAAGCCGGAAGTAACCTTGAAACTGAAGCAATTACTCGTAACATCATCAAATGAGTGTGTGTGAAATTTGCGATGGACAAAGCCGAGATTCAAAGGACGTGGCTGGATTCGAGTGAGCCAGGATCCTTTAGTTCAATCAGGACGTTTATTAAAAATCAACCTCGATTCAAAAACCCACAGGATGTGAAAGAGGCTTTGCTATCTCTTGAAGCTGCATCAATTCACCAAGGGACGCCAAGGAGAAAAACATTCCCTCGAGTAATTTCAGGATTTCCTGGATTCTGTTTTGCTTCAGACCTAATTGATTACTCCAAGCTAAAAAATAGTAATAGGAAGTTTGCATATTGCTTAGTTATTTGCGATATATTTAGTAAAATGTGTTACTTGAGGCCCATAAAACGAAAATCTGCAGTTGATATTGTTGAAGCTCTGAGGTCCGTGTTCAAAAAGCATGGAGCGCCATGGTATATTTGGTGGGACAGAGAAAAGGCAACCGGGAGTGCACTCTATATCAAGTTTATGAAAGATAACAACGTGAAAAGTTATGCAACATTTTCGCCAAGAAAATCCGCTTTTGCAGAGAGAAAAATTCGCGACATCAAGGCCAGATTTCAAAGGATATTTACAGAAAGAAAAAGAAATGTATGGATTGACAAGGTTGACGAAGTTGAAAAATCATTAAACTCCACTTATCACTCCAGAATTAAGAGGAGGCCTATTGATGTGACTAATGATAATGCTGGCGAAGTCTACCAGACGTTATTTGATGACGTAATCAGGAATTTTGATAAAATCCCGAAACCAAAGCTGAAAGTTGGAGATTACTGTCGTGTTGCAAGAACGAAACTTATTTTTGAAAAGGGGTAAGCTTTATGCATATAATTGTATTTATATAAATAGCAGCTCACTGAACGTTTGTATTACAGATATCACGCTAATTATAGCAAGGAGATAATGAGGATAACACTAGTTGTAAGACGATCAAATTCATATAGTTACAAACTGGAGGACGCCGAGAACAGACCCATTGAAGGTAGTTTCCTAGAACAGGACCTTCTCAAGTTCCCAGCCCCAAAATAATGGAATCAACCAGCTTTTATTCTAGCCTCTTTAGCACTACCTCATTGGAATATTATCCTGAGAACACGGGTAGCGATTTTCGAAATTATCTTGCGAGCCCTATATCAGCAGGATATCCGCTCGAGGTGGGTCTCGTCAGTCTTACCTTTTTTGACGAAAATAACCCTCAAGCGCCCCAAGTCCGTCCCCCTTCTCCTCCTCCAACACTTAAGATACGAACATTCCTAGGTGGAATTCCAGCAAATGGAATTGTCAGTGCTACAAAGAAAGAGGAAATAATGCAAATTAAATACTCTCGACAGCCCAATCAATTAATTAATTCATTCGTTTCTAAACTTAACGAGGAATTGCAGGCGTTTAGATCAGAGCAGTTTGAGGCTACCTTAAATCAAATTGTAAAAGGTGGAATAATAACAATAGAATTGCGAGTGCTAAAATTGGGTGATGGTGCAATTATTGAAATATCCGAAGACTTGAGAGCCATACTGGGATTTGAGGAATCAATCTTCCGTCAAGGCAATTACATGTCGGACAAATCCCTGGATTCTGAGGATGTAAAATCTGCATACTCATTGCTAAACGTTGGTGCGACCGTATTTATGTACTTGTGGAGAAATCAAACATTTGATATTCAGTTGACTGAGCCAGAAGAGTATGATATCGAGGCTTTGGGACAAGATTTGGTGTTAAAATTAGCTGCAGAAGGGGTTAGCATTGGATTTCTTTTGGGGGACGAGAACCAGGCATCAGTTAGAATAAGAACGCCCGGTGCAAAATTCAAGCTCACTACATATCTAAATCGTCAGTTGAATTTAGAAGACAATTTCGAGTTCGAAAGAGAAAACGTTGAGTGGGCAGTTCCTGTGGAAACAATTCCCGAAGATAACCCTCCAGTGTCACCAGAAATTATTTTACCAGACTCACCGGCAGCAGGCCAACTATATATTCTACTGGACATTATAGAGAGTCAGCGTTTTGGACAAAACGTTTCCCAAGTTTCGCGCATTATTTTTCGCCCAGCCACTATAAATCTGCAACACTAAATTAATTTTGATTTAGTTCAGTATCTACCAGTTGTCAGAAGAGACCAGTATTCGAGTTCGGATTTGTGACGAGAATTTTGTGCCAATTTCAACTTTGTCACATCCCAGTACTGCGGTGTTACATTTTAGGAGGCAACGTTTTTAATGCAAGAAAGGCAAGTTTTTTGCTTAGAAGACCATACCTGTTATATCGATCGCTTACCTGGAACAATGGCTCAATCTGGGGGAAGGCTGGACCTCGTTCACTTTCCAGGAATTTCGCTACCATTCAAGAAACGTTTTAATAAAGCAAAAGGTCAAGTTGGGAGGGGAAAAATTCGCAGTCAGTTGGAAGAGCCTGAGCAGGAAGGTAGTGGGCGCAAGAAAACTCCAAGACGATCCACCCGCATAAAAGATAAAATATCCACAGTTCTCACCAAAATTATTAAACCAAAGTTAACAAGGGTGAAAAAACCTGTCCAGAAGAAAAAGATAAAGCAAAAGAGGAAGCAGACTAATCCAAAGAAGAAGACAAACTCCAAGATAAGAGCTAAATCAAAAACCTCCAAACCCAAAGCTAATAAAAAGAAAGCACCCCAAAAGAGAAAGCGGCTTTCACCAAAGAAGGCTTGTCCTTGTCCAAGAGTTAAACGAAAAACTTGCTAAACCACAATGGAGTCAGAACTACCCACGTATTCGGGGAGTGACAAGGCAATTAGGAAAAGTTTAGACATATTTTCTCTTTGGCCTTCAGATGTAAGTATCCTTGATGAACATTACATCCAGTGTCATAGCATATCAAGCTTTAAAGAAGACTGGCAATTGCCCATTGATATTGAAATTCCAAGGAGTGACCTCTACTATATTTCGTTAGCTGATAGCTATATCTACGCTAAATTTCGTATTCTTGATGCGGATGGGAAAAATTTAACTACAACGGCTAAGCTAGTAGGACCAGGACAGCAATTTAGTTGTCAAATGTTTGAAAGTATCAACGTCTTTTTGAACGGAACAAATGTAACACAATCGCCACATTTTTATCCTTACAAATCATCTGTCGAACAGTTATTATCTACAAGCAAGGGGTTTCAAGAGACAAATTTGAGTGAATCTCTATTTTATCGCGACAACAAGGCGGACAGCTTTACTACAACAAATGCAAATTTCTCCGAGCGGGTAGCTCTGACTAGATCAAGCAAACAATGTGAAGTAGTTGCCAAGATTAGCGATAGTATTTTTGACTCGATCAGAATGCTAATTCCTGGAGTAAATGTGCGACTAAGAATTATGCGAGCATCTCCACTGCAGTGTTTGGTCTTTATTAGTACGACGATATGTATGTATGTAGATGGCATTTTGTGGACGAGAGCTAGTATGTTGCTGTGGGAATGCTTATAAACAGTTATGCAAAGTTTGGTGGATTCCACTGCATTTGATTAATACCACTAAACAATTTTTCAAGATAAAAGCCGATCATCATTTGGAACATTCGAGTTGAGTTCAGCCAAACTACATTTCACTAAAGGAGTGTTTTGAGGAGTGCCATAATTTGAGATAAAATCGTTCTTTGTACATATACAAAAGTGCACAACGATGAAACGAAAAGTGATAATAAAAATAAAACTGCGGGTACAAATTTCATTCAAGTAATAGCGATTTTATTCTCACTTTATAAATATACAAAACATAATTTAACAATTTCACGGAGATGTGAAGTTGTATAATCAAATAAAGTTTGACCCAAATAACGACAACTATCTGACCGCCTATCACATGATGCTCTCAGCTATGACAAATCCTGAAAATGGACATAGTTTAAGCAGAAAAGAATTTATTGAAAATTGCTTTATGTTAGTATATCAACTGACTCCGACAGGAGAGGGTGGATTCAGCAGAGAATTAAATGGTCAACTTAAGCTTCAGCTAACATTTAGCAGACCATTAGCTGCAGCAGTCCGACTTTTAGCTATTGGAAAAACTCAAGGTAATTACCTCAACGACTTAAGAGATTTGGGCTAAAAATTTAAATTTAATTTGTCAATTTAGGGTTAATTCAAATCGACGAGCACCGAAACATTTACACTGACCACTCAATAATTTAATAATGGATACGACATCAATAAAGTGCTGCCTACAATTTTTGCTACAACCAAATCAAATTTCAAAAATTGACGTACTACCGTCCGACAAGTTATATAAAATTAGGCTTTTCTCAGAATATCCATCCGCAGTATGTGTAAACACGCATCCAACGTGAGATTATTTAAATATTTATTTTTATGTGTTGGTCCTAAACCATTTTGTGCTTAGGGGGAAGCCAGGAGAACATTGGACCGGGCTGTTTACGTATGTTAATAATTTCGAGGTCGTTTCAGATTTCTGGTGAGCGGTTCAACGTTTTTGAGCATGAAGAGATTAGCAGATAAGATTTGTTTCAAACAGGTGTAGCTATGGGAAGAGTGCGAATGAATACAACTTTGATCTGCCGTTCCGTGTAAAACACAGCAACTCAAAAAGTCTCCAATCCCTTACCAGCAATTACTGTGGTCTCTACGTTATATATTTTTTAGTTCATAGGGCGAGCGGCTTCAGTCTTGATCAAATTGTAGAGCAGTTTGGATCCTCTCCCGAAATTAATGATAGGATAGTGAAAAAATTCTACAAATCTGCTCGTTTTCTTAAAGCAGGATCAAATAATCTATTGAATAATCAACGCTGTTGTACCCGACTCTTGAGTAGATTTTAATGTTTTTCATTTTTTTGATGATTATCCCCATCGTATGTGGGGATAATCGAACACTATACATTGATGAGTGGTGTTCAAATTGTACACAGCATGGAAATCAGACTTTCTTTAAATTTATAACGTTTACATGGGCCCCTCCTCAGTACCTTTGCTCGCCATATCCTGGACTCAACAGTAAGTTTGGAACAATTGTTGACATGAGGTAAATAAATATATTTAAATTAATATTGTCACAATTTACAAGATAAATATTTGCAGCTGCGACAAAAGGGAATGCAAAGGAATCCACATTCGTCCTGTCACAAGATTCGCAGGCCACGAGAATGCTGTCTGCAAACGCCACGGCCCAATTAGCTACGATCTACATGATATCCCTCTGTTTAGCTGTTTTATTATAATTTTAGTTGCTGTAATAATTACGGGCATTCACTTGACTAGTGCTATTACTATGCGTAATCTTCGTCGGGATCGACAAAAGCACTGCTCAACTGATTGCAACAAAATATATTTAGGATCAATGGAATGTAATAATTAGTTTTTTGTCTGTATTGCTACAAATAAATAAATTCGGATAGATTGTACCGTGTTTGGAAATACATACGAGATTTTGTGCATGAATATTTCAAAATCTCGTTTGTATTTCCAAATGTAAGTGCATGAGCGATCACCAACAACCGGAACTAAATAAACGTTTTTCATTGCATATAAAACCATGCTAGCAAAGATTATTAGTCAGTACGTATTTGGACTTTGCCTCAATTGTTCAAATTTCTATCGTGTATCAGTCCTTCTGTCCTCTCCCACGATTATACAAAATATCACAAAATTAATTGCGATTATATAAATATAAGTTAAGAGTTGCAACAATGAATTCACTCAAGTTTCGCGTTTCAGATAAAGAGCCTGAAAGATACGAAAAATATGAACGCCTTGATAAATTGAGTGGGGAAACTTTGGCGTTGGTTCGCAAAAGTGATCAATTCCGTAGGAACAACTGCACAGAGACACTGCAAGGATCTGCTTTCCCTGCAAAAACTCAAATTGTGTCAAACGGATTTGTGGATACGGTGCTCACTTGCTACAACCGCCACCATAACCTTGTATTACGACCAGATGACATTTGGACAGCTCTAATAATCCAGTTCTCTTTTTACATAAGTCAATCAGCAGAAACATTCAGACGCAAATTTGTAAATTTTGAAGGCAAAAGAGAGTTGGTAGTCCATATGGGAGGGAACCTAAGAACCGCATCGTATGACCTCTTTGTAAAACTCATGTCGGAGAAGATCGACGAAAATCTGGTTGACCCATCCGTCAAAGCGTGGGCCCTGCCTTCATTCTCTACCACCACTCAGGATGACCTGGTAGCTCGTGGAGTAGTATTTATGGCCACCATGAAAAAATATTTTGACAACAAATTCTGTATGTGTTGTGGAATTCCTAACGTTACTCTGGAGGGCACCGTCAATGACTGGGAGAATATTTTGAAAAGGCTTGACAAATTGAAAGAATACGAATTGACTTGGTGGTTTGATATGCTGGCTCCAATCTTAGAGCAGTTTATTTTAGCTAAAATGGGCAAACCTGATGTGGAGTTTTGGCAAAAAATTTGCAACCGACATGCTGGAGGCTCTGGACCATCGTATTTGTCAGGATGGATCACTGCTTTTTGTGTTTTTGATGAGGATGGAAAAAGGCAAGGTACATATGTACATGAAATGATTAATTTGAATATGCATAGCTCAATATTAAACAAATTTTCAGGGAATTACAACATACTCAGAATGTGGAATGGGAACATTGTTGACCCCCAGGGACCATGGCCAATCGTAGAAATTGACAAAATACCCCCAGGAAGTTCACAATGATGGTTACACCCTTCAACCCACCACGGGATGGGCTATTTGTCTTAAACCTAACGAGAGAACTGAAATTACTGTAAAGGCTCGCAAAAAACGCACTAAAAGAACAAATAAACCATATAATAAAATGTAAATCATGTATCCTACCATATTACTATACAATAGTAAATAGAATCATGACCATGACCACACCCACTGCCAGGGGGAGCAGCACTGCCCCCCGGCGACACCACCCTCACAGACCAACATCCATCAGCACATTTACCCTCGCCACCCCTCACCACCACCACCACAATTCATCACCAACCAATAGCAACATACATATGCATTTTAAGTACCTAAATAGACGCCATTTTAAATGCACGGTAATGGAGACGGGATACGATGCACTCAAACAGGGCGACGGGATCGGGTGGCCAATTGATTCCTACTATCGCTCATGCACTTACATTTGGAAATACAAACGAGATTTTGAAATATTCATGCACAAAATCTCGTATGTATTTCCAAACACGGTACAATCTATCCGAATTTATTTATTTGTAGCAATACAGACAAAAAACTAATTATTACATTCCATTGATCCTAAATATATTTTGTTGCAATCAGTTGAGCAGTGCTTTTGTCGATCCCGACGAAGATTACGCATAGTAATAGCACTAGTCAAGTGAATGCCCGTAATTATTACAGCAACTAAAATTATAATAAAACAGCTAAACAGAGGGATATCATGTAGATCGTAGCTAATTGGGCCGTGGCGTTTGCAGACAGCATTCTCGTGGCCTGCGAATCTTGTGACAGGACGAATGTGGATTCCTTTGCATTCCCTTTTGTCGCAGCTGCAAATATTTATCTTGTAAATTGTGACAATATTAATTTAAATATATTTATTTACCTCATGTCAACAATTGTTCCAAACTTACTGTTGAGTCCAGGATATGGCGAGCAAAGGTACTGAGGAGGGGCCCATGTAAACGTTATAAATTTAAAGAAAGTCTGATTTCCATGCTGTGTACAATTTGAACACCACTCATCAATGTATAGTGTTCGATTATCCC